CTTCGTCGGCCCTGCCGCCCACGTGGACGCGCTATTGTAGTCGACCGCTCATGAACAGACGCTCGCCACGGCATGACATAAAACATGAGATGCACATATGGGGAGCTCCACGCAGTGAGTAATTTTACAAGGGGTGGTGCGGGGGGCGTCGGCATGGACCCTGGTTGGCCCCCAGTCGCCTGGGGGAAGGGGGTGTTTATTAATAGGGAACAGTGATCAAGACACCCTCCCCGCCCGCAGGCCGTCTCGCTCACTCCCACCCGCCCTCCGAACACATGCGTAGCACCCGGGTCGGGCCCGAGTTTGAGCATAGTCAGCAGTCGTCTTTGGATGGGCAGCCACTGGGGGCCAATCCGCCGCCGCCGCCGCCCCCCCCTGCCAAACCGCCGCCGCCGCCGCCGCCGCTGCCGCCGCCGCCACCGCCACCGCCGCCGCCGCCGCCGCCGCCGCAGCCGCCGCAGCCGCCGCAGCCGCAGCCGCAGCCGCCGCCGCCGCCAAGTGTACTATGTTTTGTTTTTTTTGACAGGGATGGTGGGGGGAAGGGGGGGGGGCGCATCGGGTTTGCTGCGCATGTTCCGAATTTGGAGGTAGAGTGTGTTTTGTATTGTTTTTTACCAGGAATGGTGGGGGGGGTTGTCATGGACCCTGGTTGGCCCCCAGTCGCCAGGGGGAGGGGGTGTTTATTAATAGGGAACAGTGATAAACCCCTCCCCGAAGGGGAAGAAGGGGGTCGAGAACAGAGAGGGCTATCTAAACGACTCACGCCCTAAAGGGCTGGTGGGATTCATCTGGACGCCTCCTTCACGATCTACCCACTGAGCATGTTGAGCACTTATGTCGTTTCCGTGGGAGTCCGAATGGCCTGCAAACCAACCTGAGCAACACCATTAGGTCTCTCAGTTCCTAAAGTAGGGGCTCGCACGACTGCAGGCGACACGACGCCTCCGAGGGTGGGGCCCGCAAGCCGCTCTGGAGGAACATCGGCCGACAACTGTATTCCACCTCTCGCACGGACCGCCTTTGCCTCCTTCGAATCTTCCCTTTGCAGTGCCAAGATTTCTGGCACGCTGAGGGGCTTCAACAAAAATGCACAAGCAATGGCAAAGACCTGCTGGTTCCGAACCGCCAATGTCGCAACGAACTGCCTCGTGTGTCCCATTTGTATCCACGCGTCTGGCAGCACGAGCCGACTGTGACTGATCCAGCACCGTCGTATTGTGGGTGTGCGAGCGTTCTATGCCGGGTCCAAGCCACCTTGTTCGTAAAACCTGATTGCTGCTTCGGCACGGGAAAACGATATATTTTTTGGGCGGACGCCTCGCGTGTAGCACGTGCAGACCTTGCTCGCAGATTTGTTTAGTTCGGCCTGCCACACGTCAACCTCTGCCAGATCAACTGATTTAGCAGCTGCGCTTCGCTCGGCCTCCCTGCTCCAAGAGATCCACTGTTTCCCGTCGTGCCTGGCCACTTGGATCCACCAGGCAAGTCCCCCAAGGGGGCTCCAAGTTTTCGGGGCCGCCACACGATCATATATCCAGAGCGGGTCCTGATGGACCAATTCAGTCCAAATCCCTTTTACACTCACGCATGCAATCAAGCATGCCAAGCACTCCATTGGAGGCAGAACGGAGCACGCGCTGCAAACACGCGACCTTCGCAATTTGAACACGACGAGCGGCGACAAGCGGCGGCTCGAAGCATAAAGCTCCGCGCTAGACCCCCCAAACAAATACCCAGCGATGTGCCCAACCCATTTGCATCAAGTGACAAGAGGAGCTGGCCCAAACTTGCAAGGACAATGACAGTGCAGGCGCCGTTATATGTTGTGCAAACGACATGGGGTGCGCTCACGTGGCGCGATCCACAGGGCAACAGAAGAAAGACGAGGAGAGAGGGCCCAGGCTTAAGGATAACATGGGGCCGGAACGGCGGGCAGGACAAGGGCGCGCGGGCGGCCAAACCGCCAGCGCGGCAGCAGCAAAGGGAAGTTGGCAGGGGCAGAGGACAACGACGAAAGTGACGGGAGGAGACCGAAGACTGTTGCTTTTGTCGGTAGTACGCTAAAAATGCAGCGCTGCCTGCGCCAGGACGCTGCGGCGCTCGACAACATGATCCAACTTGCTCATATTTAGTGCAAGAAGCGAGCAAGGCCTAGTTCGCCCGCCAGCTTCCCTGCGTCCTTCCTGCATTGCCCAGTGCGGGAGCTACACACTCGAGGGCGCGCCGCCAGGTGTGCGGGCGACCCGCGACAGCGCCCCGCTGGACCCCCATGCAGCTTTCGAGAGCGGCGACAGTTTCGCAGATCGCAGCCCCCCAGGAGTGGTCAGGTCCAGTCTGAGTCTGGGTGGTGCCTCGTTCCGCTGCCCCCCCCCCCCCCCCCCCAGCAGCCCTGGAAAGTGGCGACAGTTTCGCAGATCGCAGCCCCCCAGGGGTGGCGAGGTCCAGTCTGAGTCGGGGTGGTGCCTCGTTCCGCTGAACCCCCAGCAGCGCTTGAAAGTGGCAGCGGCTTCGCAGATCGCAGCCCCCAGGGACGGCGAGGTTTAATCTGAGTCTGGGTGGTGCCTCGCTCCGCTGACCCCCCCAGTAGCCCTCGAAAGCGGCGACAGCTTCGCATATCGCAGCCCCCCAGGAATGGCGGGGTCAAATCAGAGTCTGGGTGGTTCCGCACTCCGCTGGCCCCCCAGCAGCCTTCGGAAATGGCGACAGTTTCGCAGATTGCAGCCCCCCGAGGGATGGCGAGGTCTAGTCTGAGTCTGCATCGGACGTCACTCCGCTGGCCCCCCCCCAGCAGCCTTCGAAAGCGGTGGCAGTTTCGCAGATCCCAGCCCCCCCAGAAATGGCGAGATATAATATGAGTCTGGGTAGGACCCAATTCCGCTGGACCCCCACGCAGCCCTCGATGTGGTGACAGATTCGCAGGTCGCGGCCCCCCAGGGATGACAAGGTCTAACCTGAATCTGGGTGGGACGCCACTCCGCTGGCATCCCCAGCAGCGTTTGAAAGCGGCGACAGTTTGCAGATCGCAGCCCCCCAGGGACGGCGAGGTCTAATATGAGACTAAGTGGGGCCGCATTCCGCTGGCCCGCCCCCCCAGCAGCGTTGACAGTTTCGCAGATCGCAGCCCCCAAGGATGGCGAGGTCTTATCCGAGTCTGGGTGGTTCCGCATCCGCTGGTTCCCCCTAGCAGCCCTCGGAAGTGGCGACAGTTCCGCAGATCGCATCCCCCCAGGGATGGCGAGGTCAAGTCTGAGTGTGGGTGCCCCAGCATTCCGCTGGACCCCCAGCAGCCTTCGAAAGTGGCGACAGCTTCGCAGATCGCAGCCCCTCCACGGATGGCGAGGTGCAGTCTGGATCTGCGTAGGGCGTCATTCCGCTGGCCCACCCGGCAGCCCTCGAAAGTGGCGACAGTTTCGCGGAGCGAAGCCTCTTAGGGATGGCGAGGTGTAGTCCGACTCTGCATGCGACGTCACTCCGCTGGACCCCCCAGCAGCCCTCGAACGTGGCGACATTCACCAGTTCGCAGCCTTCCAGGGGCGGCCAGGTAGGAGGTAAGCCGGCACGCGGGAAGGGACGAGGTGAGAGGCAGCAGAGAAGGGGGGAGTGGGCGGGAGGAGGTGTGCGACCGCAGTGCTCTATTCAAAACGAGAATGCACCGCAGGAAGTTTGGGATAAATCGTCACGCTGCCTGTTGTAACCTGCCTCAACCCTCAAAGAAGAAGGGTCGGCGCCTTCCAAGAGGGTCTGGTTCCCCACGGACAGAGGGGCCCATGCAGTCCCATGGAACAGGACCCTGCTGTGGCAAAGCGCCGAGGCGAACGTGAACCTGAGGCATTGTTCGAGGTCATTGTTACGTTTGAAAACGGCACCAGTCAGCCCGCCTAACATGCACAGCGGCGACCGTTTGCGATGCCGCTATCTTGAATCATTTACCCTACGCACGCATCTGGTTGGATCTCTGGAGCATTCAGGCGCCCCTTGGGGGCCCCAATGCTACGACGGACGTTCTCTCCGGCCCTCCCGACAGGATTCAGCAGGAGCGTTATTTTACCTTCCCCAAAATTGCAACTGACACCTTGTATGTTTGAGGAGTTCATGAGCGGCGGATTTGGACGATGCAATTGTCATGAAACCCAGCGCAATGTTCATGAAAGTGAAGAAGCCCAGGTTGGATGGACAAAGTTGGGGGGGGATCTGCAACCGACTGCTGTTAAACCAGCCAGCCCTCCGATCCGCGCGATTTACGAACGCCCTGGACAACCATGATAAAACAAAAAAACATTCGGCCTCCCCTTCCTTACCACAATGCCGCTCCGTTCCCGCTCCTCCTCCTTTCTCATTCCCTTCCTCCCCTTCTCTTGTTTCTTTCTCGCTTTCCCGTTCCCTTCCCTCCTGTCCTCTCTGCGCCCTTGCGACCCGCCGTCTCTCCCGTTCCTGCCCCCCCCCCCCGCTTCGTCGAGGCTTTTGGCCGGGGGGGCGGGGCAACCTTGTTTGGATCTCCCCATGCCTCCTTCGAGTGGAGATCGCCTTCCTGGTCTTTTAAGGTGCAACCGGCAACGGGGGTAGCAAAACACAGGAGGGGGGATTGGCAGGAAGGCGACTTCACCTAGAAGGGGGTAGGGGACATCAAAGCAAGGCCCTAGGGCTGCGCAGCGATTTGCAGCGCGGCTCCTGGCCGAGTCCAGGACCGCGTCGCCGCGCGGCGCGCGTTCCGCGAGTGGTGGCACGGTGTGGGGGGGGTCGTGGAAAGAACGGCAAAGAGCGAAAAGGGAACCTGCAAAGAATATGAGTGGTGAAAGATGTCAGGGGGGCGAGGAGGGCGACGACAACTCGCGACGAGGAGCGCGGGGAAGTGGGCGGCAACGGCAATGCATGGAAGAGGGCGGGGAGGTGGGAAGGGGCGAGAAGGGGGGCATTACGAGGAGCAGGGCGCGGGGCAGAAAGGGGTCGAGAAAAAGGAGGTCAAGATGAGAAGGAAGGAGGGCGGATGAGAGGAGGCCAGCAGCCGTTCAGGCCCCATTCCTCTCCCTGGCCCCAGGGGCCGGCGGGCTGCCGCCCAGAGGTCCGAAGAATCGGCTCCGGGGCCTTTACCTCCCCTCATCACTTCCTCTCTTCTCAACCAACCCTCCATCCATCCCAGTCCATCCCGCCCCTTCGCCTTCTCTTCTCCCTCCGTTCCCTTTCGCTTCCCCTCCGCCCCCCGTGAGGTGGCCTCTGGGTCGTTTCCTCGGGTTTCGGGCACCTGTCAGATGGCCTCCTCCCAGGGGTCCCAGGGGTCCGTCGCGGACCCAGTCGTGTGGGTCACGGGCTCGTCGCAGGAGGACCAAGACTTCGACCGACAGGACGGGCGGGGGCGGGCGGGCGTTATTTTCCTCCTCATTTTCCCCCTCCGCCTTCCGCTCCTCCTCATCGGAATTCCTCGCATCGTACTTATCCCCGTGACCTTCAGCATTACCATAAACACCATCACCATCGTCATAATCATCGCCATCACCCTTTTCATCCTCATCATCCTCATCATCCCCACCATGGATCTACACGCGGTGTTGCGACTCCCCGTGCCCCCTCGAACAGTCGCCGCCCAGAGTGCTGGGCTGTTGCGGCGCCCATCTCCGCGTTACCTCCCGTCATCGTTACAGAAATGACGAGTAGCACAAAATGGAGATGGGCATTGGATGAGAATTCAGGATAGTCGGCCGAGGAGTTGGTTGGAGAGTTGGGAATGAGTAGGAGGGGTGATGATGGTTGTGGTGATGCTGATGATTATGATGGTGATGACGATGATGACGATGATGACGACGACGGTGATGACGATGACAATGGTGATGATGACGATGCTGATGATGATGGTGGGGATGATGGTGACATCGATGATGATGGTGCTGCTGATGGTGCTGATGGTGATGGTGATGCTGCTCACCATGATGATGACGATGACGATGATGATGCTGCTGATGGTAATAATGCCGACGATGAACATGCTGATGGTATAATGCCGACGATGCTGCTGATGGAATAATGCTGATGATGATGGTGGTGATGATGTTGCTGATGATGGTGGAGGTGGTGTTGATACTGATGGTGGTGCTGGTGCTGTTGCTTGTGATGTTGCTGATGCTGATGCTGATGTTGATGCTGGTGATGATGATGCTTATGACGAGGTTGTTGGTGATGACGATGATGATGATGGTGGTGATGCTGGTGTTGGTGGTGATGATGATGATGGTGATGATGATGATGATGAAACTCGTCTGGGGCTAGCTTGGGGCTTTCTTGGCCTCCCGTGAGGCAAACCTGGGGTACCTGTGGGGCCCTCGTGGGCAGTATTGGGCCCCCACCAAGCCGGCTTGAGCCCTCTTGCGCCGACTTGGGGCTCTCTTGGTCGCATGGGGGGTGCCTTGGGGCAGTCGTGTCGCGGGGCTGTCTTGGCGCTGTCTTGGGCCATCGAATGGCTTTCTGAGGTCAACTTAGGTCCCGCGGGAGGCCCTCTTGATGCCGTCTTGAGGCCGTTTTGGATGCCCCTTGGGCCATTGCGGAGTCCTCCTGGACTGACGGCAGCCTGGGAAAGCGAGGATGCCACGATCATCCAAAAACCCATGGGGAATCAATGATTTGGCTTCTTCGGACACTGTTGGAGGTCCTCGCGCGGCAAGTTGGGGCCCTCTTGGAGGAATCTTGGGCCGCGTTGAACCAGTGCTCGGCCGCCTTGGGGCCATCTGGGGAAGTCTTCGAGGCACGTCGGGCAATCTTGGTGCCCGGCGTTGCCTACGCGGGCCGTTTTGGAAGCTCGGGGCGTATATGCATAGTTTTTCGCCAAGGATCGCGTCTCGGGATGCTCTGGTTCGAGTGGGTGCATCGCCCAGGAATGCAGGGAGTGCGCGATCCTCGAGCGGGCGCGCGCGGGAATAGGGTCTAGGAGTTCGCAGCCATGCGGAAAGTGGCGCACAATCCTCGAGCGCGCGCGTGGGAGGTGAGTTCAGGCATTAGCTGCCATGCGGGAACTGCCGCCGCATCATCCTCGAGCGGGCACGTGTGGAATGGGGGTTCAGGCATTAGCTGCCGCGCGGAATGTTCACCGTCCTCGAGCGGGCACGCGTGGAAGAGAGGGTCGTGCACTAGCTGCCAAGCTGGGGGTCTACAGAAGGAAGGAGGGGCGATGCGGTGATGCATGAAGGGGGGCCACGGGGGCTCCATCCTTTGAATTTCACACACCGTACCAGACAACCTTTGTCATTCTTCCACGGCTCAACGTGCCAGGGGCACCGTGGCGGATTAGTGGTGGATAAATTGGGAATGAGGAACACTCGCGCTAAGGATAAGGGGCACTGAGAGAACGAGGGTGGAAAGGTGAGAGGAGAAGAGGAGGGGGTGCGGAGGGCAGGACTGCTTCCTGCGACATGTGCAAGGTGTCGAAGTGGCAGTCTGACGCCTACAGCTGCACGTGCGCTCAGGGCTACGACATCATGGGCCCCGAGAAGTTCGGCGTCGCCTGCGATCCCGATGATTGCAGGGTAGCCGAGAAACAGGGGGGGGGGGCGGCAAGAGGGGAAGATGAGATATAATGAGAGAATGAGAGAGAGAGAGAGAGAGAGAGAGAGAGAGAGAGAGAGAGAGGAGAGAGAGAGAGAGAGAGAGAGAGAGAGAGAGAGAGAGAGAGAGAGAGGAGAGAAAAAAAAAAGAGAGAGCGAGAAAGCGATGGGGATAGAGAGAGAGAGAGAGAGAGAGAGAGAGAGAGAGAGAGAGGAGAGAGAGAGAGAGAGAGAGAGAGAGAAAAAAAAAAAAAAGAAAGACAGAGCGAGAGAGAGAGAGAGAGAGAGAGATATACAAATATATGATAAGGCGTAGCAGATAGAGGGATAGGGAGATAAGGGGAGAGAGAGAGAGAGGGGGAGAGAGGGAGAGAGAGAGAGAGAGAGAGAGAGAGAGAGAGATGGAGAGAGAGAGAGAGAGAGAGAGGGAGAGAGAGAGAGAGAGAGCGAGAGAGAGACTGACCCGATTTGGACTCGATCGTCGATGAGTCTGAGAGGCGCCCTGATATCAGGCCGAGAGTTCGGGGGGGGCTTTCTCAGGGGCTCGCTGGGCTCGCGCTAGCAGTCGCTCCCAATTGAATTGATCGCCTTTTCGCTCGGGCCCGCATCTCGCGCATCTCCTCTTCAACCTCTCGTCTGACTCGCCCCCCCGGGCCCCCCACCGCCCCGCCTCTCTCGAGCCCCTCGGGGCTCCCAGAATTCAACTGCCCCAGAAAGACGCCCCGCTTCAGGACTACCACACGCACAGCCACTGGGCTGGCTGGCCCAGCCGCGAGGTGACCAAGGCGCTCACTGGCCCGACTGGCCTGAGAAGCCAGGGAGGGGCGGGGGGAGGGGGGCTAGATGACCGAGAGAAGATGATGTAGGGATGATGAGGGATGGTGGTGGTGCTGCTGATGAGATGATGATGACGATGCTGATGTTGATGATGCTGATGATGATGGTGATGATAAAGATGAATATGAAGATGAATATGACTATGAAGATGATGATGATGACGATGACGATGACGATGGTGATGATTATGATGATGATGCTGATGCTGATGCTGATGCTGCTGATGATGGTGATCATGATGATGATGAGGATGCGGGCTGCCGATGCGGACCCCGCTCCAGCCAAATGAAGGGTGCCGATCAGCGGACACAGGTAACGGACAAACTTTAAAGATCTTCGTTTCGCTTGGCAGGCCCAGGGGCAAACCGCGCCGAGTAAACGATGCGGATAAGGATGAGGCTGAGGATGACGGTAAGTAAGTAATGATGAAGCCCCTTTCCGCCATCCATCCTTTGCTTTCCTCTCCTCTCCTTAGTGCTCCGCTCCGCTGGCCCTGCCCGTCGCGCCGTCGTCTTCGCGAGAGAAACCTGGATCCGCTGGCTCTCTGCATCTCTGTCGCCCTCTCCTTCGGGGGTCCCTGGCAAAGGCCTTCATTCCCTCTCCTGAGCCTCTCCTGATGTCTCGTTCTCTCTCCTCTTCCCGATGTTCCCCCTCGCCCTCCCCCCTCCCCCCCGCCATCCCCAGTCGGGGCTCTCCTCAGACCCCCGTCTAATGAGCCATGCCGGGAAGAAGGCGATGTCCCTCATGGAGTCCACCCAGCGCGAGACGGACCGCCCCATGGGCGCGTTGCGCCGCTGGGAGCACGGAGGCCGAATTCGCGTGGGACGCCGCGCCGAAACGTCAATGAGGGGGGAAGAGGTGCCTGAACCCTGTCATCTGCCTCTCTCCACTGCGCCCCTCTCCTTACATCTCGTCACCGCCCCCTTTCCGCTACCCCCGCTCGTCGGCCCCTCGCCGCTCGCCCGCTTTCGCTGCCTACCCCCGCCATTTACCTCGAGCTGCTTACTCCCCCCTCCCATCCACCGCCGCCCATCGTTGAGCCAGGCGCCCTCGTCGGCATCGGCATGACCTGGTTCGGCACCCACTACCAACAGTCCAAGGAGACTTGGGTTCCAGGCCGGGTGCGCCGACACGTCTTGGCACCCTATTTCTGCTCGCTTTCAACTTTGTCCGCCCCCCCCCCCCCCCCCCCCTACCTCCCTCAACCCTCGCCCCTTCTTTGCGCGTGCAGTCCTTATTTTTATTTCTCTTCGCACTTGCCTCCGTCTTTACCCCGCAATTGCGGATAAGAGTGAGGGGGCGGGCGCGGGCGACGCGGGCGTCGTCAAGCCGGCGGACCTCGTGGCCCCCACCTTCCTTGTCGATGGCGCTCTCCTCCTCCTCCTCCTCCTCCTCCTCCTCCTCCTCCTCTTCCTCCTCCTCCTCCTCCGCCTCCTACTCCTCCTCCTCTTCCTCGTCCTCGTCCTCGTTCTCATCGTCATCGTCGTCCTCCTCCTCCACCTCGTCCTCCTCCTCCTCCTCCTCCTCCGCTTCTTCCTCGCCCTCCCTCTCCCCCCCTCGTCCTTCCATCATCGTCCTCCCATTGTCGTCGTGTTCCTCCTCGTCGTCCTCCTCCTCTTCCCCCCCTCCCGATCCTCCACCCTCCTCCTTTACGTCGTCGTCGTCGTCGACGTCATCGTCGTCGTCCCTTCCCTCCTCCTCCTCCTTTTCCTCCTCCTGCTGCTCCTCCTCTTCCTCCTCCTGCTGCTGCTGCTCCTCCTCCTCCTCCTCCCCCTCCTCGTCCTCTTGCAAAAGCAGCCCGCCGCAGGCGCCGAAAAAATTGGCTTGTACACTGAACGTGGTTTGGGTCGCGGGTGGGCCGCGGGTTCTCCACCAGGAACGAATGCAAAAGATGCTCGCCGCAGGCGCCGAACAAATTGGTTCGCACCCTGAGCGCGGTCGCGGGTGGGCCGCGGTCTCTCCACCTAGAACGATTC